TGTCATCGTGTTTGCCTACTGTAAGGACTGATGACATCATTGGCTATGTGGCTAAATATGCAGCTATCGATAAGAAGACAATTGTATGCTATAAACTGGTCAAAAAGGATTCTGATTTGGAACTATGGGCCTGTGCCAATTGATAGAAAAGTTTTCTGGAAAGTAAATTTTTGACAGCTATGAGGTGAATAAAAATGTTTGATACGGCAGGGCTAGTGAAAAATTTGACAGCAAGCATTATCAAGAAGAAGAACGAACAACGCATGTATACACATAAATTAAAGAAAACAAAAGCGAGTGGAAATAAAAGAACATGGTCCCGCCGGCAAAAAAATAAAGAAAAGCTATATAACTTGTAAGATTTAATTTCAGATTTACATATGAAAAGGCGTTATGTATTTTTTTAATTAAAAATACTATTTTACAGGGAGCAGTTCAGAACGCAGAATCCTTCTGGAAAAGCGCACTGACAAGGATGTTTGGTTCAGTTCAAAGAACGCCAACAGCAACGGAGGCTGGAAGTGAGTAAGAACAATAAAAATAATTTGAAGACTTTATTAAGCAAATGACTTCGTACTCCACTGACCATCCGTGGCGCTTTTTGGGAATGTGAGTTACAATTTTTCGAAACGAAGCAGAGGACAACCTAAGATACATTTTTTTAGTCTTGTTATCGCCGTTCATAATGCTGCTTAGTATTTTGGAATAAACGTCTTGTTGCATGTACATAATACCCTAAAATGACATATGTTTTTATTGGAAACAATTGTACACGGTTTTAAACATTTTTGTGAACACATTTACCAGACGGTTTTGACGTGTTTTTATTTCTAATATTACTGCTAAGAGGTCTAATAAATGCATGGATTTCAATTCCAGAAGAATTGAAATCGTCAAAGGCAAATATTTTCTAATAATTGCTGCATTTTATAAAAAGCAAACTCGATAGTCTTCTTGTGCATCAAAGCAACTGTCAAAAATTTCCAGCAGTAAAAAGTTACGAATTGGCACAGCAGAAATGTAAAATTTTCTCACCATAGTAAAAAGTTTTTCCACCATAGAACTTTTCTATCAATTGGCACAGGCCCTATTAAGCACATTAATTTCAAGCTTGGAGTTTCAGAATCTGACTACTCAAAAATTCTGTCATCGGATATTTGGCCCTCCAACGTTGCTGTCCGGCCTTTTGATTTTTTTCGAAAAGATGCCCAGCCGCAGCCCAAGAAGTAAAAAGTCATTCCACCTCTGGTGATCGGAAAATAAGTATCTATCACTAAAATACTTCGGGACTCAGGACAAAATCCGAATCTGTCTACATTCCCAGCTCACAATTGGATTATGGCTGCTTCGTTCTGACAGAAACCTGGCTGAATGCTAACTTTTTCGATGCGGAGTTCTTTAATCCAGCTCTCTTTGACGTTTTTCGCAAAGACAGAGATTTTGCTAAAACTGGTGTTAGTAGGGGTGGTGGTGTACTGATAGCCGCGCGCAGATATCTTCGAGCTTCTTTTTATCCGCTGCTAGATGCCAACTCCCTGTTGGATCAGCTTCGTGTAAAATTACATGGCACCTGTGGTGTGCTGTACATTTGTGTGTCCTACATTCCGCCGGGCAGCTGTGATGTCATATACAAGGCACATGTTGACAATATACTGGCACTCCACGAGAAAATTGGAAACAGCCAACTTTGTGTTTTAGGTGACTTTGACTGAATTTATGTAATATTTCCTGGAGCTTTATTGATAACAATATTTTCCTCACCCCATCAAATGTTACAACTTTATCTGAATCATATTTAATTGATAATTTATTATGTATTGAATTATTTCAAATCAATGGTTTTTTTAATGAGTTAAACCGAATTTTAGATTTAATATTTATTAGCTCTAATATAAATTTCAAGCTCTCTCATGCGGCCAGTTACATCTCCCCTCCAAATCAGCATCATAGCCCTATGGTTTTGGAGTTTGAATTTTACCAATATTTTGAATTACCGACTGCTAGTCAGACGCTTGCTTTCAACTACTGCTTGTTGTAATTTTGCTGAATTGAATAATTTGTTTGATTTGGATTGGTCCCAGCTCTTTGGAAATGTGGATGTAACTGGTTGCTACGATATTTTTAAGTCTAAACTTTGTGATATTTGTGTGGGTCACATCCCAATTCTTAATTCGAAAACCGCTAAGCGTCCATGGTTTACTAAAGAACTCAAACGTATAAGGAATAAGAAGAATAAGTTCTACAAAAGACAAAAGCATTCCAACGATGTTAATTTGCGTGAGCGTTACGTGTTTTATAGAGCTGAATTTAACAGGCTCAATAAATCCATCTCCGAAGCTGTTAGTCTTTTTGCTGATTTTTTTTCTTCCAACTTTATTTCAGGTAATTCTGATAATGATTTTATTCCTGAAGATCTTTTGTCAAATTTAGATACTCCCATTAACTTCGGGAAATTAAAGTTGACAGACGATGTAGCTAATGGCATTAACCAGCTTAAACTATCCACTAACACTGATGTAGACGGCCTCTCGGTTATTTTATTTAAAAGTTGTCCTTCACTAATTGCGCCTTTGAGGCACATTTTTAACATGTCTCTATCTGCCGGAGTTTTCCTCGATGACTGGAAATTGACTTTTATTGCGCCAATTCTTAAAAGTGGTAACAAAAATTGTATTGAGAATTATAGGCCGATTTCTAAGCTTACCACTGTCTCAAAACTGTTTGAGTCCATAGTAATAGATAAAATTTACTTTGCTGTTAAACATTTATTATGTCCCAACCAACATGGGTTCGTGCCGGGTAGATGTACGTTAACCAATTTAGTTGCTTTTACAGAGGACTGTTTGGAAACCTTTCAAAAGGGATTCCAAATTGACGCTATATATACCGATTTCTCTAAGGCTTTTGACAGGGTGCCTCATCGAATATTGATAGCTAAACTTGAAGGCCTGGGCTTTCATTCAGAGTTTCTGAAGTGGATCACATCCTATCTGTATAACAGACGCTGTGTTGTTCGTTTTGATAATGTATCGTCTTATTCTTTTGTCTCCTCCTCTGGTGTTCGTTCCCCAGGGTAGTGTTTAGATCAAAATCACCAAGCACGCAAAGTTGACTATTACCAAAATTTCGATGAAGAGCTAACACATTGTCAACATGCGACTTATATAAGCTAACACAGCTAAGTGGACGTATGTAAGAAGCGCAGATATACAGTAAACCCAGGGAACCGCTAACACGAACACAAAGTTGCTCTAAAATCGTGTCCTCGTTCAGAAGAGGAAAGAACGAGGCTTGGAGATTGTTACGAGCCGCAATCTCTGCTACATCCAGATTTAATGGGATCCCTGTCCTTCCGGAAAACATCATACATGTTCGGGTCAAAAAACTCCGCATCGAAAAAATTTGCATTGAGCCAGGTCTTAACGATAACCATGATGTCGTACTCCAAGTGCGCACTTAACATTCGAACCATATCAGGCTTGGTTCGGAGCCCTGAGGCTTTTTCAAAATATATTCAGATACGCTCTTTTGGCCCGGGGGAGCTGCCCTACTTGTTTTTGATAAAAACGGAACTGCCGAACATTTACGTTGGTTGGCCAGATTTCTGGCTTTAGGAGATTAGTATAAAAATACTCTGGAATACCTAATTTGAAGTTTACATATTTGAGTGAATTCACATTGGCATCTTTCTTTGTCAGCTTGTAACAGGCAATTTGTTGCTTATCAATGCTGACCTGATTCACAACATAGTTTGCAATATCATCTTCAGTAACAGATGGCTTAAACGAAGATAAATTGAGCCACTGAAGACGCGCAACTACTTGGACAATTTCTTTCGTTCCACTGTAATCCAATTTGCAATCGTCAACACTGTTAACATTGACATTAGTTTCGATTTCCGCAACAGCGCCAATAGCAGACATAACAGAAAGCTTTGCGTTGTATTGCACGGAATAGGTATAGGCAGCAGTAGACACAACAGGACGCTTATTAGATTGCACAGAATCAACGCCAACAGCAGCAGCCTAGCTTAAATTAGTATTAGGGGCCACTCGTTTGGTAGACCCAATGGGAGACGAAGCAGATGAACGAGCGTCGTTTACAGCGATCATTTTACAAGTAGTCGATAAAGCCGAATATGTTTCAGAAACACTAATATGAACTGTGTCTGTGTCATGCTTGCTTGTTGACATTCTTCCAATATCAGCAACAGTCGGGCGACTAGCAGCGGAGTTATGCACAGATGCGCCGCCGCCAACCGACGGGTTTTCAGAAGACGAAGCAACCAACTACGACGAACTTGGGAGTGGCGTGAACATAAGTAGTTCGATATCCGAAGATCGGCAACCGTTTAAGCCGCTATTGCTGTTGTGAGTGATTGCATCAACAACAGCACATTTCAGGGCACCTACTTCCGTAGCTAAAGCATCAACGCAAGTGGCATTGTTGTTGCAATTTGAAGATAATAGAATGACTTGGATTTTTACTAAATCAATCTGGGTGGTTAATTCTCTGATCTTCACTTCGAAAGCCGTCATAATTGACTCTAAGCCTAGTTTTTGAGTGGCAAGGATCGACTCAAAAATATTGCAAATTTCGTCCGGAGTATCAACACGGGTAGCCAATATGCCGGTGGGCTTTAAACAACCTCACGTCATATTCCGTGCTGGGACCTTCACAACAGGCCCTATGAAAGAGCTTTTTACAAAAGCCATTACACGGCACAACTGAAGAATCACTCCTTGCAAGCATTTTGGTGCACCCTCCACAAAAATCCGTCATATTTAAAATATGTAAGTCTCTTTAAATATTTGTAACATGTTGAAACAAAGCAAAGCAAAATTAGACAGTAATCGAAAACACGTCTACACTCGTTGACAGCTAACACTTTAGGAACATTGAAATAAATTCTGCTGAGTAATAAGGGACAATCAACGTTACCGAAAATTACATCGAAAATGATGGAAATGGACAGGAAAATTCTTCGGTTACACAACGGTAATAAGTTAATTAATTGACAACGTAAAAAATAGGATGGGATAGGGTCGGAGAAGTTAAGCGATCTTAAGGCGCTGGACTGACTAAATCCTGTTTATGTGGACTTGGAAATAAGGTCTCCAAATAAAGGTAGCATACTCTAATCTTGACCGAACAAATGCAGAGTAGAAGACTTTGTGAGTATAGGTATTCAAAAACGCTATACTGTTGCGTTTACAAAAGCAAGCATCGAAAATGAATTAGCTACGATATAATTGACATGTAAAGTAAATTTCGAATCGAAAAATACTTCGAGGTCCTTAACTACGTTGAGAGACTCCAATCTAGTATCGGAAATACGGTATGATATGGGTAGCCGTGTAGATTGTTTTGAAAAGGTCATTTGGTTACATTTTTTTATGTTAAGAAATAAGCGATTCTTAACACACCACAAAAATAATCTGTGAAGATCAGCTTGAAGTAGAAGCGCGTCATTATTAGATCTAATAACTGTGTAGACTTTTAAATCATCTGCGTATAAGAGATACTTAGATGTAGTAAAGCACGACCCGAAGCCATTATAAATATTAAGAAGAACAATGGGCCCAATATACTACCTTGCGGAACTCCAGAGGTGAGCAAAAAGGTCTTCGAAGAAGCGCCATTAAGAACAACAGAACTAGTTCTGTGTGAAAGGTAGGTCTTTATCCACAGAAGCATGGACGAGTGAAACCCAAGTTGCGAAAGTTTACTAATTAGGATCGTATGCGAAATTCTATCAAATGCCTTGGAAAAGTCCGTGTATCCATTTGATACCCTGCTTGGAAACTTTTAATACAGTCGTCAGTAAAAACGGCGAGAATAGTT